CACTTTCGTTTCCACATGATATCTCTAGAACCATTTGAGCTATTGCAATGAAATTTTACATAACAACTCCCTGTGGCCTAAAAAAGACTACTATTGATTTTGAGGTCAAAAGGTCAAAGTTCAAGGTCGTAAATTTATACATTCTGTCTGTGTGTAACACTATCATTTCCGGGCGATATTTCAAGAAGATTTTGAGCTTATGCAATGTAATTTTATACCAAAACTCCCTAGGACCTCTCTCGCCCCTCTCAAAGTGCCCCGCCCCGTTTGTTTTATTAGTATTTATAGTATTACATGTTGCTATTTTTAGCGCAGGGGCATGAGGAGAGTTATTGCGTATAAAACAGGTTCTCGGCGGACTTTATGTTCTTATTACATCTATTAGAACTGTTTAATAAAGGCTAAATAAATCAAACACCATGGATTGTGTAAAATTTTGAGAATACCGAACATGAAAACATGAATATATACATGTATGTGACTTCAGTTCTGCATATACTTCACTCCGAGTAAAGCGACTCCGTGGTCTAGTGGTTATGTCTCTCGCTTCAAATGTGAGAGGTCCCGGGATCGAATCTCGGTTGAACCGTTCTTTTTTTCTTTTTTTCTTTTTTTTAAATACTTTTTTTTTTACTAAATGATAGTATTCAGCATGTGAAATGAAAAATATTATGAGGTTATAAAATCATCATTACAGTGTGATAAATATTCCATATGAAAAAATCTTCTATACACATAATAAAGAATAAGCAATCAAATCTTTATATGCATATTGACATACATGTATTTTATTTCCTTCAGTATACATGTATACATTTAATAATTCTACAAATTCAGTCAGGGGGAGCCGACTTTTTCCCTAAGCGGGGGACACGAATTCTCTGAATTAGCTTGTTTCTTAATACAGTCACACTGATGATGGATATGACAAAAATTTGACCAAAAAATGATTACTTCATATGCCCTAGCCCCGTGGGGATCCGGTTTGGAATAGGTCCTCAGTACCCCCTTGCTTGTCGTAAAAGGCGACTAAATAGGGCAGTCCTTCGGATGAGACTGTATAAACCGAGGCCCCGTGTCACAGCAGGTGTGGCACGATAAAGATCCCTCCATGCTCAATGGCCCTGAGTGCCGAGCATAGGCCTAAATTTGCAGCCCTTCACTGGCAATGGTGACGTCTCCATATCAGTGAAATATTCTGGAGAGGGACGTTAAACAGTATTCAATCAATCATCATATGCCCTGTTCACACGGAGAGTTTAATTCGCAGTAAATCAATGTGAAGTAAACTAATGCGAATTAAATTACGTTCACACGACAGCTAATAGAATGCGAAGTAAACTAATGCGAAAAAATTTTACTTCTACAGCCCGGCATCAGCACGGCAATTATGACGTCATTTGCAAAACACGTCACCTTATGCAGAAGCAGACCCATTTGACATACTGGCAATGTGTCTGTATACACATTTTAATGATTAAAATTTTCCTTGGTTTTTTGCTCAAACAGTAATTGGGAAGGGCTTGCACCATGCGCCATAGTCGCATTGAAGTGAAAAATGGCGCATTAAATCAATCAATCATGGCGCCAAGGTGCGCATTCAATTTTTAGCGATGTTATTTGGAAAGATATTGCGTACGACTTTCTTTCTTGTTTTACTTTCATTTTAAATGCAGTCAATTTAAAACAACAAATCTCATTGGTTGAAACCTGTCAAAAAGTACTTCCAGTTAAACGAAGCGCTACTTCATTCATTTGTATGGTAGGGCTGTTCCCTTTCCAAAACTGTCGTAATTTTAACACAAAATACAGGTCAGTTATATTCTAAGCAAGTTCCTTTAAATTTGCTACATTTTATGCGTTAAAAATCGGATTTGGTTAATTAAAAACGTGTTTTCTCTCGCATTTCATGTTTGTTTGTCACTTTGTTATTTCTTGATATGACCCTTCAGATTATATCGATGGACCATTCATTTTCGAAATGGCCCATCAAAAATGTTGACAGTTGCGCCATAGTCCCACTGACCATTTTGGCCTTCCCAATCACTGCTCAAAAATAGCACAAGTACCAGTACCTATAGCTGACCAACGACACGTGGTATTTGACTAAATTTTGCCATTACGCATGCGTCAGAATTTAATTCTAATTAGCTTCGCTTAGCGTTCACACGGAGCTAATGCGAAGTAATTTAATGTGCAGTAAACTAATTCGCATTAAATTCTCCGTGTGAACGCTAAGCGAAGCTAATTCGCATTAACTTTACATTTAATTCGAATTAAACTCTCCGTGTGAACAGGGCAATAAATTAACAATTTTGCGTAGAAATTAATGTAAAATTGAAGATTTAGGAAGTAATCATTTTTTGGCCAAAATGTCGTCAGATTCATCATTAGTGCGACTGTATCAAAATATTTGGTATTCACCATGTTGCGCCGTTTGGTCTTTTGGTCTCAAAATGCAGATAATACAAAAAGTAGGTAAATATACTACTTTGGGTAGGTTTAAATACCTATTAATAGCTACGTAGGTAGAAATAATCTTTGGACTGGACCTGATAGAGGCTTTTGGATTTAGGGGTCACTCAGGGATTTTTAGTCAGTGGTCCCAAGTGCATATGATTATTTCTTATTAGGAATTAAAAAAAAAATCTTTGCAATAAATTAAATTTCAAACCTTTCATGTTCGAAGGTCTCTATAATTCCCTCTACAGGGTCCAATTCATATCCAGCATAGTTAAGAGTCTGACTTTCTCGCCTTTCTCTTTCTATCCTTTCCATCATGTCATCCACTCTCTTTCTGGTATACTCCATATGTTGTTTTTTATCAGGTGATCGCGACATTTGCCTCATCGGGACCGTAAAATTAGCTTTATTTACAACTTTGAGTAAACTCATTCTTGCATAACGGGTCGCCATCTTTAGAAACTGGTTCTCCCAAAAACATTGAACCAGTTTTCTTTTGGATTGCGGTAAAACCAGTACTCCCTACACTAACTAGGATTGTCTAACCTCCCTCTCGAGAATGTTTCACTGGACCTGTTTCACTTGTATGAACACGCCGCCACTAACCTGTGGAGGTTTGCAAATGTATGCTTAAGTTATAATCTACACTGAGGGCCATTGAGTATTTGAGTAGTTTGGGATCTTTTTCGGCACGGCAGTGGATTCGAACCCGCGACGGAAGCCTCAACTCCTTACTCCGCGACATTAAAGCAGACGTTATAACCACTATGCGCCATTGAATTTGTAATTTCATTTTATTATCGACTATAATATATATTTGCATGATTTTAGGCATTGGTCAACATAGAGTAGAAATTTATTGGTTATATATATAAGCTATGGTCGACAATTACCTTGTCAGCAAATTATACAATAATTTATCATTTAGACAAATGCTTAGTGACGTTTTTCATACTTATTGTTAGGCCATTATTTACACACTGAATGGACGACGGATTTTCCCGTTATTTCCCGATCATGACGAGGAGCACACGGCGGGTGATTGGTAGATAGGGGATGCTCCCTCCTCCATGACACTTGATCCAACCTCTGATGTTATGAGGTCCATTGCTCCTGTTTTGCATTGTTTAATTGGGGTTTTAGCTTGGATGCAGCTCGTTATCTGCATATATTTCAACGTAAAAGACGTTAATGGTAATTTAACAACCAAGCTTTATGATAAACTTGATGACTTTAACTTTTCAACCGTCAACTTTCCTTACTTATGCAGCAATATACTTTCATCACCTGCATACGGTTTTTTTATATAAATATCTCAGTTGATTCGATACGCAAGAGCATCCTCTGCATTTGTACAATATCTAAAACGGGGTAAATTATTGACAAGCATTCAAGCAATTTGATGAAAAAGAATATCAGCAGTCTCGTTTAAATTAAGTCATCATTTCGTACGTTCTATGGCCGATTAAATGACCTTATCAGCAAATTCAATATTTATCATTCAATCAAGTATTGACTGACGTTCTTCATACTGATTGTTAGGCAATTATTTACACACTGAATTGACGACGGATTTTTCCCGCGTTATTTCCCGATCATGACAAGAAACACACGGCGGGTGTGACCGGTCTGCAGGGGATGCCCACTCCTTCATGGCACCTGATCCCACCTCTGATGTTTTGGAGGTCCATGTTTGCTCTGCTCCTATTTTGTATTGTTTAATGAACTTTTGAGCTTGAATACTGTTCGTTATCTCCATATGTTTCATATTACAAATATACAACTATTGAAACAATTAACACGCATTCTCTGTAAGCACCAACAAATTTACTACAGCGCTTGGAAACGACATGTCTCGGATTTTGATGAAATTTTCACCATACGTGACAAAGGGAACATAGCAGTGGTTAAAATTTTTTAGGTTCATAGTTTAAAAAAAAATACTTATCAAAATAAGATTATAACTCAGCTTATTTATTTTTCGAATGTATTAAGATCAGAGACATAAATAACAAATAACATGTCTCTGTTATAATTAGTCTACTCATGACTATACGGACCTGGTCAGGTATTGGTTGACCGAGGCCGAAGGGAGAGAAAAAGTCTCGATTTTTGCAATAAACATATATTTTTTCGCAATACAATCTCTTTAAACATCTTTAATCTATCAAATTTGAGTACATACAGAGCTATGAAATAATCCATCACTTTGCACGAGCATATTTTGTGGACCACAAACGGCACTTTTTTGAGTGTCTGCGCATGCGCGTACCCCCGTTTGAAGGTACGGATTTCCTACTTCCGTTTACCCCCGTTTGAGGGTTCGACTAGACTGATAATGAAAAAAGATATTACGATGATAAAAGTATTTTTAAAAAACCTGAACAAACCATGCAGACTTTATAAAACAAGGCAAATTTATAATGTATGCTTTTGATTTGATATTGATATAACTGATTATTCCCAAATAGTAGTCCTACTTTCAATATCGGGTGATTAGTATACTCCTTTTTTAACTTCCGGAGAAAACAAATAAAAAGAAACAACGAAAGAACAGACACAAGATGTTGTTTTATTTGAATAATATCACTGTATCTTAGATTATATGAGATGGATGTTAGGACAGTTAACACGCAATCACAAGGGTCGTTTCCTATTCCAGCATATGTCCTTGATGATTTATGCAGGTTCGCAGTTTTGCTATGTTCCGAATTTCCTCGATAAATAAAATTAATCCCTTTTCTCTTTTTCATTATTCGGGTATTTTTATGTTTTATATTCTATCTAAAATATTTTTTCTTTCAGTCGATTCATTATAAATATCCCAGACGAAGAAAGACAGGACTTGATCAGAGTTTTCTTTCAGATAGAGTTGGCTCATTGGTTCTACTTGGACTTTTATTGTGCTGAAAATCCCGAACTCAGAACATGTGGAATAAAAGATTTTTCGGCACAAAATATCCTTACATATATCATTTGTAGAGTCTATTGTTGTTGTTGTTGCTCACATGATATGGTCATGAATTAAATCTGTAGAGACCTCACAACTGGTTGAATATATCTATAATAAAGAAAGAGGGAATATTGTTTTCCATATACATGATTTAAGGAATGTACATTAATATGTTTAAAAATAATCTACTTGAAAACAACTAAATCATAATAAGATATTTATATGAAAAATCCTTAAATGTGTAAATTCTTTGTTCAGCTGATAACCCCTGGGGGTAAAGAGGGGTCACAATATTTGATAATTTTTTTTTACACAGACATACATGTATATGCATATTTGCCCTACAAAAGTTAAAAGTGGACTGTATTTAGCACACAGTGGTTAATAGTTTATGTGAGTTTGCCAAAAATACAGATTCTGCATGTAAACATTCTAGCATTTATAGACTGAGCATTTTTAATTGTTATGTTTTGGAAGTCTAATGTTCTAAGTTATTGGTTCTGGCTTTCTTTAAATAAAGAAATAAAAGAACTTTTTGTATATATGTAGCATGTTTTTAACCTTAACTTTTAAACTTTTCAAACATTGTCCATTTCTAAGTGGACATGCTGGAGAGGTAGACAAAATCCTGGACAATTGGAAAAGTTATAAAATGAGTGTTCCAACATATGGAGGAATTCTACTAGATCCAGAGATGAAATATGTAGGTAGCCAGATATTATTTTACAAGATATATTATTGCTGGTCGAGGTAAATTCTGATTTTCAGTAAAATGATAAATGAAATATTTCTAATTAATAGTTTATTATGTATTTTTAGTGTTTGCTTGCCCAGGGCTTCTGGACAAAAAGCAGTTGGGGATTCCCAAAAGGCAAAGTAAATGAGAATGAGTCTCCACATGACTGTGCTATAAGAGAGGTAAACAAGAAAATCTTGTTAATTTCCTGTTGTGAACAAGAGTTATTTTCCTTGGTTCAGAATGTGAATATGAGCAGATTTCCAGATTTTTTTTCATGCATATATCTCTGTTTTATCAGATCTGTATTATGACTGCAAACAAGTGGATTGTGTCTACAGGTACAATGTTTTTTTTTTTTCTTATAGGTATATGAGGAAACAGGTTTTGATATCACTCCACTTATAGACAAGAATGAGTTCATAGAGAATTTTTTTAATGACCAGTTGTCCAGATTGTACATCATAACTGGAGTGGGGCTGGACACTAAATTTCAACCAAAGACAAGAAAAGAAATAAAGGTAATTTTTAATTACTGATTTTAAAGAATATTTTGACAGACTTTTTCATAGTGTAGTTTTTTCTATTTGGCTATAAGGAAAACAAATTTATCAGTTTTACTCAGTGTGTGGAAGTGGTTTATGTATTTCTATTTTGGTTTTCTTTTAACAGAGTCTTCAGTGGTTTCCTGTAGATGTATTGCCTGCTCACAGACGGGACCAAACACCCAAATCCTTAGACATGAATCCAAACAACTTCTTCATGGTTGTCCCTTTCATCAAGTAAACTATTTCAGTCAGATAAAACTTTTCCTTAAGCTTTGTTTCCTTTGGAAAAAAAGTTCTGTAATTGCACTTATAAACCAAATATTGTGTCAAAAGTACATGTATTCTGAAATAATTGATTACTCCAAGGCAGTGCAGGTGCATAGGAACCAAACTTTCAGCATTTTAATTATTTCTGTATGATCACTTGTCACTTTGATAAATTTCAGAAGCATTTTCATTTGAGTGCTTTATTACAGTAAATAACTGTAACATCTAGTAAGCAAATGGGGCCATATTTTAGCTTTTGCTTTTTTAGACCACTTCGGAAATGGATCAATAAAAAGTCAGGACATGCTCATTTCAATATCATGGATGCTGAACTTGATATCAAGGGAGGCAATGTATCAGTGCCTAAACAAATGAAAATGAGAGACCAACCAGAAGGGAATGCAAGACAGTTTGGTGAAGGCAGAGCCACGCAAAGAGACAAGCAAAAGCAGAAACTGCAGCAGTATTTTGCTCAGCAGAATCAAAATGAATTCCAGGAGTATATGCAATACAAGGAAAAGAAACAGCGTTCTGATTCTCCACGAAAGGAAGCCGGAAAATCAAGAGGGATAGAGAACAAATCACCTAAACCTAAAAAACAACATTATTCTATCTTGGTTTGTATTTTGAAAATAAAAGTTTAGTTAACAATTTTAGCTCATCTGAGCCAAGGGCTTTTCTGATCAAAATTTGTCTTTTGTTGTCATTGTTGTTACCCCTTTGTATTGACATTATTAGCTTTTCATATTTCATTTTTCTTCTCCAAAATCATAAGGCCAATTTCAACCAAACTTGGCACAGAGTATCTTGGGTGAAGGAGACTCAGATTTGTGTAAATAAAGAGCCACACCCTCTTCCAAGAGGTTATAACTAAGAAAATGTAAAATTTGGATTGGGTCATTCAAAAGTCTTCTAAAGGACCACTTGGCTAGAAAAGATGAAACTTTAAATTATAGCTCCCTGACATAATGTAAATTTAAGTTTCTTCAAATCATTCATGACCACAAGAGGGTATGGTAGGGGCAATTATGGGTGATACAAGTTTAATATGGGTGTATATAGGAAAATCTTAGACTTCTTCTCGAGAACAGCAAAGCCATACCCTGTCATATTTTTATGGAAGCATCCTGAGGTAGTGTTAAAAAATTGACACAAGAGGGAAAGAATGGGGCTACAATGGACAATCAAATTTTACATAGAAATCCATTAGAAGAATCTTCTGAAGAACACCAAAACCATGATCAGTCATATTTAAATTCATATTTAATGATATACACAGGAAGTAACATTCAAGTTTGTTCAAAACATGACCCCTTCTGGGAGTTTTACATGGGGAAACATAAAAAAATAAGAAAACATTCCTTTTTAATTAAGAACAGCAAAACCATGTTCAGTCTTATTTACATAGATTTATCCACAGGTTGTTTGTTTAAATAATGAATCCCTTGGGAAGAGTGGGGTCATAATGGGGATCAAAATTTTACAAATGAAAACATAGAGAAAAGCTTTCAAAATCCTTTTCTCAAGATCAGGAAAGGCATAATTAGCCATAGTTATGTGGAAGCATTCTCAGACAGTTTGGATATAAGTTTGTTTAAAAGGATATGGACACAGATTTGAAGTTAATATTTTCTCAGATGTATAATTTCATGACTTATACAGTAGTTTGCTATAGCATTGTACTCAAATATAATAAAAATACTCATTTTATCTGGAAATTATTGAAAATACAAATTTTGGTGTGCATCCTTGCATTACACTAACAGAGCTAGTGCAATGTTTACAAAAATAGTTTACGTTTCAGCGATTGTGTTCAGTTTGTTAAACTGCACAGATAAATTTATCAAATTTTAATATTCAAGTAAATATTGAAAAGACTTTTTAAAATTATTAAGGGGGAAAATAGGAAAGTGATACAGTGTATTTAAAATTCTTATTCTGTAAGATGTTTATATGTTGATAATCTATATTTCTTGATTAGAACCGTGATGGCACTGTAACTGGTACACAGCCCAGTTTACTGCAGAGTCCCCAAAGTCAAAATACTCCATCCACAGGACAATCAAAAAGGAACTTAGGCAGCTATTTTAATAGTCCAGGTACAGTGAATTATGAAAAAATAAATGTCACAGAAACAGAAAACTTTCATTCATAAACTGGTTTTGATAATCAGTATTATTTTAATCATTTTATCTCAGGTAGCTACCAAGGCCCTAGACCATCAAATTTTAACAATAGTGCATCAAAATCTTCCCAATCAGGAAATGTGACTGAAGACAATAAATCTGTTCAGCCGAGACAAAGAAAGTATAAAAAGATAACAGACCCTGACGGACTGGGGTCAGAAACATGGCTAAACTTCCATCTGGATGTAGACGCAATCATGGCATGTCTGCCTTAAATGTATATACAGTTTGTGTAGGTACATCATTTTTAATGCTTTCACCAGAGATTTGAACTGTTATTGAAAGTTTTCCAAGGATATGTTGAAGTACAGTAAAGGTGGAGAAATTATGCTGCAGTTTGGAAGTCACTTTGGGGCCACAGAAACTTGGCAGTGGTTCTGCTGTTGACTCTGATGTTGAGGTACAAAAAAACTGTACAAGAATTGTTTACAAGGTTCAGCTAAGTCTTTGCTTGTGTTTATTATAAAGGGAACAAAGAATTTTAGTGTACTTTAGTGAGTATGAACCTTTCCATCCAACTTAGAGAATTAAGCTCATAAAGTAAAATGTGTTTTTTTATAACCTTATTTTTTTTATATCTTTATTTATTAAGTTTTTGGAAAGTCGTACTTTCTTAAATAAAATCTTAAAAAAGATAAATTGATGTGATATTTTATTTGTTCAATTAAAGAGAACTTTACATTCATACCATAGTTTTCATGTGCCTATAATATTAAGTACAGATATTCTCAACTTACATGTAGAATTGAAAACAAATTGAAGCACAAAAGAAGAGACTGGGCTTTCAATAGAAGATTTATCACAATTTCAATGATTACAGTTCACTGCTTCAAATTTCATAATTGGCAAATTGAAATAAAAGTAATAATTCTAAAACAGCTTTCTCAGTTAGATAAATTCACCTTTTACTTCAAAATAATATAAATCCTCAGGAGAGTTAAAATGAGAAACCTGAGGGTCTTTAAATGCATAAATCACCAACATTTTATACCCTTGATGTCAAAAAAGGAGGGAAAATATTATTTGGGGACTGTCTGTCTCTTGGTCTGTCTGACCCTGTATATCTGTTGCCTTTGATTATGAATTACATGTATTTGTCAATTATATTACTGATATTGGGTATGTCTGTTTGTGAAATGTTTTGGACTTCTTCAAAAGAACAACTTTGCCAAAACTTTCGATTCACAAAGCATCCTGGGTAATAAAAAACCTCCATCTGGTAACAGAGAACAGTAGGGCCATATTTTTAGCTTTTCTGTTCATTGCTTTTTCTGATCACAAGAAGGTAGAACAGTTTATGTATTGGTAAGACATCTAAGTCTGTCTATCCATACACTGCGATCATCCGCATTCAGAAAAGAATAAAGTCACTATTTTCCCATTACATCTACAGGAGAGTTGATGAAATTTAATAATGTAGATTTCTGCATAGCAACCCCCTTTCCCCCAATTACAAATTGTTCTGATTTCCCTTTCAGTTCTATTTTTATGTCATTCAGTGCAAATGTTTCTCTGCTTTTCGTGTGTGCTTTTTCCCCACGTTTTACAATTTGGCCATATACAGTATATAATACGTATATAATACAAGTTGCAATGAATAATGTTTATCAGGCTATATCTCTTCATTAACCCCCCCCCCCCCCACCCCCCCGCTTTCTCAATTATCGACATAAAATGAACGAGTCCATATTTTTCCCATTAATTAATCTGATTTCCTCATCAATTCTATTTTATGCCTGTCTAGGTTGTCTGTACGAATGATCAAAAACTGAATGTAGAGCGGCTAGTTTTCCCCATACTGTAGACAGCATTCGTCAAATTTTATACGTCGTCTTTTGCATTTGAAACTTCCTTTCATCGTTAGACTCACTTTTCGTGTTACATATCATTTCCTGGGAAGGTCGTTTATTTTGTCTCTCATGAAATCCTAGAAAGCACAGTGACCAAGAACGATTAATTCAAATTGTCATGCAAATAGCAAAGTTGTTATCATTAGTCGATCTATCCCTTCAATGACTGATAAAAAGGTGTCAATTCCAAAATCATGTTAATGAATATATTTGTTCTCTTCAGAGGAAGTGTTATTGACTTGTATTACACAGTTGTTACGTTTATTCAAAAATCTTCATTTGGATTTTTTACACCTCACATCTATGAATTCTTGAAGAGATTATGCTAAATTTTAAAATAAGTCTTTGCTCGTTTTATCTCCCACTTTCGCTAAAGCGCATGCATTAATCTCATTCGTTTGTCATTCTATCCGCCTGTCACTAAAACTTGAACCTTGGTCATAACTTCTGATTGAGAAAAAATAGGGCATATGAAGTGACACGGACCTACCGACAGACAACCGTGCCAAACGTGTCTTTTGTAAGTTTTATTCAATGATAAATGGTACGCATATCCTATTTTATGCTAAAACGAATGCATAGTTTCTTGATTGCAAATTTTACAGTAGAATCTATGACAAAAACACTAGATTTTACTAGAAATGTAAGTTTGATGGCTGAACGTAATGATTTTCTGTGATTGTTCAGCAATTCAACCGTGTTTATGACTTTCCAGCAGGTCCTGGAGGAACCATTAATCAAATGCTAACACAATCAAGGAGGATTGTTTAAATAATTTAATGTCTTATCCCAAAACAATAATCTTGCCTTATGTTGAAATCATGCAGTAGGTGGGTGGCGTTTTTCAGGTTACATTAATGCAGAGCTTAAATTTAAACAGTTTATTTTAGAACAAGACTTTGATGTAATTTTTTTTAAGCGCGTATTCTAAATGTGCAAGATTTTGTGTCGATCAACATTATAATCACTAGAGTAGATCTGAAAGTCTATTGGTTACAGAAGAATAAACTTTTAAGGTCACCTATAGCAGCCTTTTGTTCTTATCTATATATGTTTTGTCTGTCGTCCCGCGGCGGCCTTGGTCGTCAACTTTATTTGAATTTCTAGAGCGGTTTAAAGAATCAATTTAAACAAATATTGATATAAAGCATCTATATTATGTAAATAAAGTTGTTTGCTTGTTTTATGTCCCTTCGAAAATATTTTACTCATGGGATACCATAAATTTCCAGGAGAGGCAGAAAATTTAGCACGCTGTCATTGAGCAGTGAGAGATCTTTACCATACGACATATACTGCGACACGACATGGAACCTTGCATGGTTCTTAGGACTTTTTTACGCTATATCCAGCCTTAAAAACTGACTGACGCCCTCTTTTTTCTTTCCCGCAAACCGCGCGAAAATTCAAATGTAATTGGCTTTTCGATGTGGATTATGTATAGGATTTATTCAACTGACAACTTTCAAAAATATACCAAATGAAAGCTACACTCTTCTACTTTTCAAAACTTAATTTACATTTTCCTATTGCGATTTTACTTTTTGTCGATACGTGTTTATAGTCGATTGTTTATGTTTTACGCCTATGCCAGTTTAACTACTGCATTAAGCCCAAGAATTTTTCAATTCTTGCATTACATATCTGTGAAAAAAATTATATGAATAGTTTCTTGAAAGTGTTCTCATTTTTAGATAACAAGTTTTATGTCGAAACATTACTTCAGTTTTTTACAACAACGAGGACAGTTGTAGAAAAAGCACATTAATAAAAATCATAATTTCGGATTTTTTTCCCGCAGTTATGTCAGAATTAACCGATAATTAAGACATAAAATATTGACATTTTATAATTGTTTTGCATATAATTAAATTCTACGGAGTCTCACGATTAAAATGGTACCTGATTTTTTGAAATCCGTTAATTTTAAGCGAAACTATTAATCAACATGTCAGAAAAAAGAAGGCTTATCGGTCAGTATTGACCGATACGAACGTGAAACGGTTAAGGAAGCTCTAAACACTGCACACTAAAGAGCTCTACTTATAGGGTAATTTTAAGCAGTTATAGTGATCTCCCCCCCCCCCCCCCCCCCGATCCGCGCATATATTTTATCCCTAAGAAAACCTTGGGGTTTGAAAAAATAGTCTTTTTTCTAACTTTTGAATAGTGAGAACCAGGGTTTTTACATTTCTCATGTGTACTTCTGCCAAGATCATCCCTTGCTATTGGGTATCAGCAAATTTGATCCTTTGGCCTTGAGCTTAAAAATTGACTTATGAGGAACTTTGACTTTGGCCATAGCCTTTTGAACAGTTGGAGATAGTACTAGGGTTTTCATATTCCACGTAAATCTCGCCATCACTTCGAACTTCAGACGTAAACATGGATACTTACTGTTCCATTGCCAAGCGCCTGGACTTAGAAGTGAACGTCACGCATCTTTCGGATAAAACCTAAAAACACAGTTCTCTCGTATCACAATAGGCATTGATATGATAAATGTTATTTTCACTGCTCATTGGCCCTTGCATAGCAATTAAAAGTCTTAAGAAGCCTGTCACAGGTGTTGTAGAATAGGATTTCTTCCATAGCCAGCTTTCCCGGAAAAAATGACAGATGTGGGATTTCTGTAGGGAGAATTCTGCTTAAGAGTCATTTTCCGTTTGAAAATCCCTCTCTAAAGCGAAGTCCTGGGGAAATCCTTCTCTAGAGCCAGATTTCCGGGGAGGTTTTACTGGGGGAAACTCTACCGTGACCGGTATATGGTCACGTCTCATATGGATGAAAAATTACTGAATGGTATGTAAAACAATCAATCGATATCACTTCGTAATAAGTGATTTTTTTAACCATTCTGAAACATTTTTTTACTAGCTTGACATCTTTTAAAATATGTACAATAGGACACATGTAAGCTAAACCCATATAACTGTAACATGCTGTTATCTTTAATGCATATTGGTATTAAGATATCTTGAGCTATTTGTCAGTACAAGCAGTTATATTTGACACTCTTTTTACGTATAAGACATACTGAGTCTATATTCACACAGTGCGTCAGCAATAAAATGATTAGAAACAATGAAAAGAGCAGGTTTTGTATCTCTTCAAAGAGGATTTACATTGCATTCCAATAGGGATAACAAACAAGATGCTCATTGTAAGATGTCAGCCTCAATGATAAAAACCCGAACATCATCGGCTACTAAACCTTGTCTTCCGATAATAAATGACAGAGGAAGATAAAAAAAAAACCCTTAACGTGGAAATTAATAAGAAAAATGGTTACATTGGACCATTAGAACCAATACTATAGTATCTTGAGAAAATTGCAAGCAGAATTCAATACAGTGATTCCCCAAAAATATTACTGTTCTCAGCACTCTGGGCATTTTAGGGGGTTACTATTACTATTTCAGTGCATTATTTCTGAGATAATTCGCTGACCACATATCTTAGCAAAACATAGTGACTTGCCGTAAATTACAATTACTAGTATTTATGTGAATATATATGTGAATATAGATACACCAGGAAACTATGTGGATATGAAAAAAAGGTTAAACATAAAAGTGATCTTTATCTCTGTCTACCGGTAAACATGCTGCGATTCCTCTTTAATGATCAGGTAGGCGAACGGATTGATATCCGTTTAATGGTGTAAAAACAATGGTCTAACAAGTAAAATTACGACCCAACGAGAGGTTTTATGTGCACATGTAAGCAAGGTCACTGTAAGGAACATATTGCTTTGAGAACTTTTCACGAGATAGAGACCCCATTAACATTTACTTATTTGTCAATAGCTTGCTAATTATCAGAAATGATATTCAGAACATGCTCTTGAGGGTGAACAGGTGATTTTGTAATATTGCATCATAAATATGAAAAGATGTCGATTCAAAAGCTGAATTTATCACGTTTGTCATATAATTAATAGTTTAGTTGTAATAGTTGGCCAATAAAATTATATTCATTAAAGTTTTTTTATGGTTTACAAGTTAAGTGTCAATGAAAATACAAGTATATTATATATGACTGAAATGGAATCAATTAATGAACAGCTCTACAGATCACAGGGAGACGTTATATTTGACTTCTGACACATCACCGCTCGGATAAAAAACAAGGTTAATTAGGTTCGGTTGCTTACAGCTAATAAACTGATGAATAATGCATCAAACAAAATGCATAATGTGATCGCACACTGCGTATCCATATTTTACATACTGCCTTAGAATAGTAAGGTGGTATAACATGTTCAGCGACATACCTAAAACAACAGCGTTTGGTGTATCAATGAAACTTCTAAGATGAACTCGGAATCTGAGTGTGTAATGGCTAACATTGGGCCAAATATTGGTGAAAGGAGGAATGTTATTATTGCCATGGATGGAAGCGATTACGCAGAGGGAGCATTCAAGTGTACGGTAACTTCTGTCTTTTTTTCCCTATCAAGTTACCCCTTTTCATAGTAAGGATGGTTGTGCGTAACATTAAAATTGTATAATGCCATAATGAGGAAAATTAAAACAATAGCTCTGATACATTCTCTGATTGAAAATGCCTTTTTTATTTACATGTACGAAACTTTAAAAAAAAAAGGCCAGTGCATTGCTATGTTATTATCACAGTAGACTACTGTATCGGGTAATTAAGGTTTAAAAAGGGGTTTGTAATGCAGTACTGTAGAATTTACTTCCGGAATATTTCTCTCTTGACAAGAAATGTGTCAACACACTTCTATTTTGTTTTCTTTAAACACATGGCGTCCAAGTGGAACGTGAGAGTGACCTTCAGTTAGAAAAAACACAACTTATCGCGTTATATTTACATAGGGGGCATGGTTTTTATAATATAAACAACACATGAACAAGTAATGCTCGTATGAACAAGATGAATAGAATAATATATATTTTCCGTAAAATATCGATGTTGTCATGATAGCTTACGGGTAAAGTAAATATATTCAAATGGAACAATTAAATAGATAATTATCTCAGTTAAATTAGATGCAATACATTAATTTGATGAAAGTATATTATATCGGGGTATATATACCATTTTAAAGAAAACAAGATAATTATATACCCAGTTTTTTTAATTTTTGATTTGTTTTTAAGTATAAGTGATTTAGTCTGTCTGACATGCATGCAGATCGAGTTGATGTGGTAAAAATGATTTTGAATTCTGATAAATATGCAGCAGGTGGAAAGGAATGGCTCATTGGAATAGATCTAAATGATGTAAAAACATACACAGAACGCAATTTTCCACAGAACCCTTGAAAAAGTGTTAAAATATTTCTGAAAGACTTTTATACAAATATTAAAATGATAAGCTTTTAATAACGAAAATGTAGTTTTAGATAGATTTTTAAAAATTACTGATGTATGATAGCATTGAAATTAAGCTCAGCAGAATCCCTTATAAATACTGAAGACAAAGCTTAAACCCTGAGTTTGTATAAGAAATATTAGACAGCTCAATAGCCTAGCTGTCTCTAGAATTTAATTTGCTTCTGTCTAAGCGAATAAAAATGTCAAGTTGGGAAGTGAAACTGATTGAAAATCGTAGTCCCGAGTGGAATGGTACGCTAGAAAAGCTATCAGAACCCCAGGTTTCATAACTAAATTCTGAAATTAAGGCACTGATCCTGATGATATATATCAGTTTATATTTTACAGCTTTGTCATGTCCAGCTTACTGTCAGTGTTTTCTCTAAAACAAATACATAACATCTCTTCCGACGTTTTTAGCTCACCTGAGCCGAAGGCTCAAGTGAGCTTCTGATCACATTTTGTCCGGCGTCTGTCCGTCCGTCCGTCCGTCTGTCCGTCTGTCTGTCTGTAAACTTTTCACATTTTCGACTTCTTCTCAAGAACCGCTGGGCCAATTTCAACCAAACTTGCCACAAAGTATCCTTGGGTGAAGGGGAATAAAGATTGTTCAAATGAAGGGCCACGACCTTATTCAAGGGGAGATAATGGGGAATTAATGAAAATTTAGTGGTATATTTTAAAAATCTTCTTCTCAAGAACCACTGTGCCAGGAAAGATGAAACTTATGGGGAAACATCCTCAGGTAGTGTAGATTCAAGTTTGTTCAAATCATGACCCCCGGGGGTAGGGCGGGGCCAAAATGGCCGACCAAAGTTTTACATAGAAATATATAGGAAAATTCTTTAAAAATCTTCTTCTCAAGAATGACAAAGCCATAATTCATCATATTTATATGGGAGCATGCTCATGTAGTGTAGATTCAAGTTTGTTCAAATCATGACCCCCCGGGTAAGGGCGGGGCCAAAATGGCCGACCAAAGTTTTACATAGAAATATATAGGAAAATTCTTTAAAAATCTTCTTCTCGAGAATGACAAAGCCATAATTCATCATATTTATATGGAAACATGCTCAGGTAGTGTAGATTCAAGTTTGTTCAAATCATGACCCCCGGGGGTAGGGCGGGGCCAAAATGGCCGACCAAAGTTTTACATAGAAATATATAGGAAAATTCTTTAAAAATCTTCTTCTCAAGAATGACAAAGCCATAATTCATCATATATATATGGAAGCATGCTCAGGTAGTGTAGATTCAAGTTTGTTCAAATCATGACCCCCGGGGGTAGGGCGGGGCCAAAATGGCCGACCAATGTTTTACATAGAGATATATAGGAAAATTCTTTAAAAATCTTCCTCTCAAGAATGACAAAGCCATTATTCATCATATTTATATGGAAGCATGTTCAGGTAGTGTAGGTTCAATTTTGTTCAAATCATGACCCCCGGGGGCCAAAATGGCCGACCAAAGTTTTACATAGAAATATGTAGGAAAATTCTTGAAAAATCTTCTTCTCAATCATTTTCTAAAAAATAGCAAATCCATGGTTGGTCATGGGACTACATTTGGGTTTAAACTTTACAATAAAAAGCCATTTTATACTAGTCCTACCCTTGGTGCTCAGGTGAGCGATGTGGCCCATGGGCCTCTTGTTAGCTCACCTGAGCTGAAAGCTCAAGTGAGCTTTTCTTATCACATTTTGTCCGGCGTCCGTCTATCTGTCCGTCTGTCTGTCCGTCTGTCTGTAAACTTTTCACATTTTCGACTTCTTCTCAAGAACCGCTGGGCCAATTTCAACCAAACTTGCCACAAAGTATCCTTGGGTGAAGGGGATTCAAGTTTGTTCAAATGAAGGGCCACGCCCTCATTCAAGGGGAGATAATGGGGAATTAATGAAAATTTGGTGGCATATTTTAAAAATCTTCTTCTCAAGAACCACTGTGCCAGGAAAGATGAAACTTATGGGGAAACATCCTCAGGTAGTGTAGATTCAAGTTTGTTCAAATCATGACCCCCAGGGGTAGGGCGGGGCCACAATGGCCGACCAAAGTTTTACATAGAAATATATTGGAAAATTCTTTAAAAATTTTCTTCTCAAGAATGACAAAGTCATAATTCATCATATTTATATGGAAGCATGCTCAGGTAGTGTAGATTCAAGTTTGTTCAAATCATGACACCCGGGGGTAGGGCGGGGCCAAAATGGCCGACCAAAGTTTTACATAGAAATATATAGGAAAATTCTTTAAAAATCTTCTTCTCGAGAATGACAAAGCCATAATTCATCATATTTATATGGAAGCATGCTCAGGTAGTGTAGATTCAAGTTTGTTCAATCATGACCCCCCGGGGTTGGGCGGGGCCAGAATGGCCGACCAAAGTTTTACATAGAAATATATAGGAAAATTCTTTAAAAATTGTCTTCTCAAGAATGACAAAGCCATAATTCATCATATTTATATGGAAGCATGTTCAGGTAGTGTAGATTCAAATTTGTTTAAATCATGACCCCCGGGGGTAGGGCGGGGCCAAAATGGCCGACCAAAGTTTTACATAGAAATATATAGGAAAATTCTTCAAAAATCTTCTTCTCAAGAATGACAAAGCCATAATTCATCATATTTATATGGAAGCATGCTCAGGTAGTGTTGTTTCAAGTTTGCTCAAATCATGACCCCCCGGGGTAGGGCGGGGTCAAAATGGCCGACCAAAGTTTACATAGAAATATATAGGAAAATTCTTTAAACATCTTCTTCTCAAGAATGACAAAGCCATAATTCATCATATTTGTATGGAAAAATGCTCAAGTAGTGTAGATTCAAATTTGTTCAAATCACGACCCCCAGGGGTAGGGCGGGGCAAAAATGGCCGACCAAAGTTTTTAAAGATATATGTAGGAAAATTCTTTAAAAATCATTTTCTAAAGAATAGCAAATCCATGATTGGTCATGGGACTACTTTTGGATTTAAAATTTACAATAAAAAGCCATTTTCTACTTTTTCCTACCCTTAGTGCTCAGGTGAGCGATGTGGCCCATGGGCCTCTTGTTATGCAATGAAATTCCGAGATTCATCATTCATTGCAACTTTTGAACCAATCATTACTTTATTACAACTTTTAAGTACTACTTTTAAAATCTGGTCAAGCTACTTGCTTAAATCGGGGAAAAAACGTTATCCTCGGATCAGACGTGTTTAAAAGACATATGAATATGAAATTCATTTCCTTAAAAAAACGTTTCCGTTGAATCATATTAGGATCGGATCGACCCCTTAGTTTTTATGATGGTTTCGATGTTAGAGATGCGATGTCTTATATGTGCATGTGGACTTGACAAGAGATACTCTTGACTGTATGATTTTAATAGGCATGTAATATACAATTTGATCAAGCTTAGCAAGAGCAGTGTTTTCATTAAGACGCAGCTGGATCTTGATAGATGATTTTCTTTAAGCCGTTAGAATAGGCGCGGTTTTATTATTTTCTTATATGTTCACCGAATTGAGAGAGATAGAAGAGGGACTCTTGTTATTTAGCAGGAAGAAGAAGGCAACGATATTTTATCAGTTTTTGTGTGCGTCGCAATTTTTAAACAAAGGACAAGAAACGAGAGAGAGAGAGAGAGAGAGAGAGAGAGAGAGAGAGAGAGAGAGAGAGAGAGAGAGAGAGAATTTCATGGTGCAGAAGTATCGGTATATATGTTCTTATTCGAGATATACTGTATCCATGCAAAAGACCGATCCATCAATCAACCAATCAATCGATGATATGTTTGATAACATATGTGTCGCACAATTGGCTAAATATAATTAATCACCAGATTGCTTTTGGAGAAAAAGAATACTCCTTTAAGGCTTGAAAAACAACTGACAGGTTGGTACAAAAAAAAAAAGAAAATAATTACTCTGGGCAAATAATGAAAATATGACAGCGCACTTCTACCTATTATTCATGATATAAAGAAACACAAGTGTTTTAAAATCAATACGAGTTACCCTTTTCCCGATAATTTTATTGCTTTTAGTACTGCTGATATTGGCATATGAACATAATACTTGTATATATCGAGATGGTCGACTGAATACAAAGTCCAATTTTCCTGCGTGCATACCCCCTCAATACTTCGTATATTTCTCTCAATTTTAATTGTTTTACACTACAAGAAGCTTGTTGTTCAAGTGTTCGACAACGCATGTATGAATCCCCTGAATGTGAATCCAATTTTGAATGAAATTATACTGTATAAAACGCGTACCTTGATTCTCTAGGGCTAAAACCTTGCAAAATTTAGAAGATCGATTCTCAGAAACAACTTAACTAACGACGATAATAAATAAACACACTTAATGCATTTCAGAACAAGATTGAATTATCAACTTTGTATATGTATTCTTTGTCTCCTAAAAATTTTATATGGAGACAATGAACAGTAATCAAGCTTAAAAGTCCATTAGAAAAATACAGATCGGGAACAGCGCAAACACGGAGCTTTAAAAACATCGAGATGGGATCAGGTGCCTTAAAAGTACGAGCATCCCCTGTCGTACTCTCACACCCGCCATACGCTCCTTGTCAATGACCAGAATGAGTTTTTATGTGCATAAGGATTATTAGTGTAAAATTCTTGTTTATGCAAAAGGTTGAGATTTATAAAGAATCAATATTCAAAAACATCTATGAGAACATTTTCAATTGTAATAATCCAAATAATATCAAATTACGCCCCCATAATTTATTGTGTTTTTCTGTTTCACACCGCGCCATAACCATTTCACAAACAGAAAAAAGTGATAATCTTGCTGCAGATAATAATGATTTACGGAAATGCATAAAGTGAAAAAATAAGAAAAAGTAAATGCAAAGAAGTTATTGAAAATAAAACCTTATTTGTCAAAACATACAACTGTCATCATGATCAACACAATACACAATCGAACACGTTCTTTCACTTTTGTTTTATAGAATACAAAGTAACTTTTATTGGGCCAAATACACATATATTCGGAGACTTAAAAATATATATCCACCGAACTCTCGTTTTGTGCGTAAAGATACAAGTAAATGTGGGGCTGTGATGGGGTTCTTCAAAATTACTATCAAAATGAAGGACTGATCAAAATTTTGAATTTTCTTTAAACTGTAATTATATCCCTAGATTTCATTGAAAATTGTAGCCAGAGGATTGTATTCCCCTTATCTTTAAAATCAATTAGAGAAGCTTAAGATTTTTTTCCTTGATATGCGCGATGTGGCAAAGCACTTTGAAAAAATTACGCACTTTGAAAATTTTTTTCAAAGTGCGTTAAAATTGGGACAAAATAAACGCACTTTGAAAAATTTTTTGAAATTGCGTTAAATTTGGGACATACTCAACACACTTTGAGTGTACATCAACATTTTTTACCATGGGGTAATTTAAAGCACTTTGAAAAAATATAATTAAAACAAAAATTCTAGACCTAAATTTTTAGTAATCGAGAGAATCAATTTGTAATAATTATCTTTCGCAAAACTTTTTTAAGTTACATGATTTGATTTAACCTCATTGAGAACAAGAGAAGACGAGTAAAAGGTCTTTCAGCCAAACTTTTTTTTTCATACATAGCCGTCTGTAGCAAATTGAACGTGCCCCCCCCCCCCAAGCTAAGCCCTAATTTCCAGTGCCTATATTACATGTTTGTACATGTATATCTTTGCAAAACATTTGTGTGCCTAACCCCCCCCCCCCCCCCCCCCGGTTCTGATGCCTATGCTACACCCAAATATATGTATTTGCATAACTGATATGACGTTGAAAAATTTCAATGATTTTTAGTTTTACATAAAATGCATGCAAACAGGAAAAATTAAGTACAGTACAACATCTAAGAAAGTAAGAATTTTCGAAGTATGGAAAAATGAAAATCGCTCACTTTCACATTCTGAGGTGACCTTATCACTAAAAAGTTATCCAACAGGTTCAAATATTTATTATACCTAAGATTTACAAGAATGTCCAGCATACGCATTTTTTTCAAAGTGCGTTAATATGGTCGATATTAACGGACTTTGAAAAGAAATTTTATTTTTTCAAAGTGCGTTGATTTGGTCCCAAATTTAACGCACTTTGAAATTTTTTTTTCAAAGTGCGTAATTTTTCAAAATGCGTTGTAACAGCGCGAGCATGTAAAAAAAAATTCTATAGATATCCAAGTTTATTTTTACTTTTTTGTGTCTAACAATACCCTTTAAAAATTCATCAGTCAAGAGTGCCATGAGGTCTTCAAGCACAGCATTGTAATTATATGAGGTTGTTTCAGCTGAACTCAATCAATATAATCACATCATTATCTAGAAGTTGATGGTTGTCTTAACACCAAACGTCTCTTAAAATTCTCATTTAAGCATGTTTTAAACAATATTGATGAAAGGAATGGTTCTGTATTATTTAAATATTGGTAAAGGTCACAAAATTTAAGATTAATTGCTTTTTTTCATATAATCTTTTTCTTTATGATATTCATTTGATAGGCGTCTTGCACCGTGAACCTTGATAAAAATTTATGTTTTCATGCGTCGAAATAAAAAAAAGTGTCCATCAATTATAGTCAGTTTTACAATATGTTTCTTTGCAGGGTACATGGATCATGTACATAGAGCGGATGAAGACCACGCCATTCTGCTGAATGTGACAGATCACAGACACAGTTTAACTCATGGCTGTACGTGAGTTACATGATAGTTAGTCTATATTACTGGGACATTGTTTTTATAAGCAGTGTCTGAGCAGTGTGTGGTAAGGATATGCTGAAATCAATCGTAGAAAATGCAGGAGGAAAGAGAGTTATAATCAAATTGGAGAGGTTTTTAAACAATTAACTGCATTTTCGACTCGAATGCTCACTAATAAACATAATTAAAATCAGATGTTCGCGATAATTTCTCAATGAGAAAAAAAAACATCCACAAACTGACGGAAGATATAAACAAGAGAATGGCATGGCATTGGTAGCATATATCCATAAAATAATTTCTGTCACTAAAGAAAGTAGAGGTTGAGAGGAAAGATCTGAAAAATCAATCAGTTTCTGATTCCAGTTCTGATTAGGCCTCGGTCCTCCCTGGAGCTTCTTAATGTTATGAAGGAACAAGATGCGTTTGTGAAACACTATGCGCCCGGCGGCAACAAAGTTCGAAAAAGCTATATTTTAGCATAAAGGTCAAAGTCAAGGTCACAAGGTAATTGACCTTGTTCATTGAAAGAACTTAAATAGTGGAGTATGCATACCAAATATGAAGTTTCTAGCTCCTACGGTTCAAAAGTTTTGGCGAAAGTTAAAGTTGACAACAGACAGACATACAGACAGATAAACAGACAAATGGATAAACAGACAAACAGATAAACAGACAAACAGACAGACAGGACAAAAACAATATATACCCGGATCCGGGCGCTTAAAAAAAGTCATATTCTACTTGAAAGAAAATCTCATGGATAAGGTACTACTAGTATATAGTATTGACTTATAGCATTGAAAGTAGGCGGTAGCATGCTTATACTCTTGTGTACACCAAGCTATCCGTAACGTATTTCTTGAAGCGGTAGCGCAGGAAAAGTCATTCAATTTTCATCGTGTAATCGGTGTATAAAGCAATTATATGATGATATATAAGATTTAAAATCATATCATTGCTTTTCAGCAATAACCCAGAGTCAAATCTGTTAATTCAATGTTTGAATGAGACCAATCAGATATTCATAGATTAGTGTGGGAAAGGTTCTTGCTTCGGAGTCTATACTTCTTCGTACGAGGAATGGTCTTTAATGGTAATTGATGACAAGCTTTCAATTGACTATACCCAGAAAGGTCAATAATGTTTGAAATAACGACAACACTAAACGATGAATTATTTTGTACCACACAATGGTCAGATCGTTGATGTTTAATCCATATGGGTAGATCGATTCCCCTGTGCATTTTGTAACCAAGATACATTTCCGTCTCCTATGGTAAGTTAGCGGAAAATGAACGTCTTCATTGACATTAAGTTCATTATCTTGATACTGCATTTAAGGCGAAAGAGGCAAAGAAAACGAACAGGGATCAATCTATGAAAAACAAATTAAGGCAAGACAAGGGGTTGGAAGAAATTCCTAGGAGGAGTAGCCGTCTGTTGCCAACTCGTTGTGAGCGCTCTTGTTTGATCAAATAAACAGAGTAATGCTTAGTAAATATGTATATAAAATATTTGCCCAAAAATTGGTTTGATGTCAGTAAAGGTAGACCGAATGATAGAATTCCTTTTACAGACAGGGCCATTCAAACAATGAAAATGCAAAATGCTGATTTTCAACGTTGCTGTTGCAAGCTCTGTTGAAACATCAACATGTCTATCATTCGCCTGTCTCGAATAATGTTTAAAAATTGATGATTCAAAATATGTTTCATGTACCAAATAATGCGCAGACTAACATAATTTATTGATGATAGTGGATTAAGGATGTACAACACACCTACTCCCAAAAATTCCTGTCGTTTAATTTTCGTTATTTTTGTATATTTAGTACATGACTATATCTACTGCATGTATGCATATTTTAAACAAAATCGTTCGAGTGGTTTTTGGACAGGAACTTCCGAAAGTTACCCCCCTTTAGTTGTTTACAAGGATAGAAAATTTTTAATCAACGAACTACATAAACCTTGATTTTCAAAAAAGCCAGGTTAGATATAAATGTCAAATTTCATTGGCTTATTCCTTTATCCATTTAACACAAAAACATAGTCATCTTTTTGAAATACATATCATCAAAATAATTTTTAAAGACCTTAAACTGAAAAACTATGAATTTTCTAAGCCTTGAAAATTGCGAATTTTTCAAATTCAAAATTTTTTGTGAAAAAACCTGTCGTTTAATTTTGGTAAGAAACTTTCTTTAGATAGCTGGTAGTAAAAATAATCTTCATAATTTTTTGTATAATTTTTGTACGACCAGTTTTGACTTAATAGCGGAAAATTACCCCCTCCCCCTTTCTCAATAAATCACGTTCCCGCGCGTCTTTCAAACGGGGGTCGATCACTTTGTTATATGAATCTACAAATACATATTAAAAAATTAAAATGGAATATTGCTTTTGCTTGAAAAATATATTAACTTACAAATTTAAAAGTTCTCATATGTACAGCGTATTTAAATGTAGATTTTTAGGCAATTTTTGAATACCCCTATCACCCCCACCCCTTCCTTTTTTGCGTCGCAGACCATAAGCGTTCGACGAAACGTCGTTTATAGTGCAAATATGGTAGTATTTCGTCAAGAATCCCGGAGGTATGCATTAGTTTTTAAATTCATGAATGCAGCATAAATATTGACTACTCTTTTTATATGTATCAGGAAAAAATTACTGAAAGATTTTAGTGTTTAGTCCATATACCTATGCGTTTAATATGCATTCCATATCACATGAAACCTGGATACGAATTCAAGTTTTGTTGAACTTTAATATAGTGATTTTTAATTTTATTTCTTTAATTTTATTCATTAAAAATGGTGTATGATCAACTTTCCTGTGATATAAATAAATAATTGTATTTTCTTTCATTTGATTATTTCAAACGAGACAGTATGTGGCCGTGGGGATACATCGACATTTGCATTAGATGTTCATACACCCCTCATGATATTGTACGCATTTCTTTCAATGTCGTCGCTTCTAAAGTTAAAATGAAAATTCTGTATTCGTCCACATTAACTTCAAAATATCAAACATTAAACTCTTCATCTATTTCAATTTATATCAAATCGCACATTGATATTTTTTAATCTTATAGGCTACGTTTTGTTTTGATTCGAGGAAATGCGAACCGACATTGTTGACAGAAACTGAGAAAGTCAAAGTTACGATTTGCTGCAATAGGATATTCATAAATGCAGATAATTTACATTAACTTACATTGTGTATATGAGGTCTATAGTATTCAATTCTCGGATTTATCAGGTCTTGCTGTAAATGTATCTGACTCTGTGGAAAACCTGGATAAAGGGAGGAAAATAAACATCTCCTACATTTTCAGAGTTGTTCCTCTTTGATCAGTAAGGGTCTGAGAACAACATCGATTTTACATTGTAAAAAGTTTTTTGTTTATTTATTGTTGTTTTATTTAATTAAAGAAGAAAAACAATAAATGTATTTATATCGTGTATGCACAAAATGCACAAATGAAGATCATTATTCGGAATGTTATATAGCCAATTGTACATAATGAGAATTATGGCAATGTAAAATAAAATTTTCAGAATAAAAAAAGATGCTGCGCTTTGATAAATATACAATTTATTGTATATGAAATGAAATGAAATAAACATTAAGGGATGGTATTTTATGTCTTGCTTTTACGGAGTTTAATCGGGTTAATTAAAACAATACTTACTGATTATGGTACGCACAATCACAGCCAAGCCCCATATCCCAATTTTCTTTCATGATTGATATACATCGGGATCGTTTTACTCGTCGTTTCGACGCTTTATTTTTGACGTTAAATTTGACGTCACGTCAAACGTTTAATTGAAATCGCAAGAGTTATCTCCCCCAGTGTGTTGTACGTCTTTAAACTGCATAAAAAGGAGAAATTACCGATGTTAGCGCTGAAATTCTGTTTCTAATAGAATTTAATAATTATTTGGCCATTAAGGTTTAAAAAAGGGTAAAACATCGGTATATATGTGACATGGTGACTCGGGTTAGCATTGTAGCCATTTGTAGGCCATTTAATTAATCTTCTTTAATTCTTGTAGCTGCCTGGATGACGGCGGATCCTAAATTGGTCGAACATGCCGTCCATGAAGAAGAGAAGAAGGCCAGAGAAATGGAGAAAAAGCTTGAAGGTTATCTAATTGAAACAGGAGTAAGAATTTTTTGTAAACAAAATAAGATGTAAAAACCATATACATTTGCAAACCATGTTCATTATAAATAAACCCTTAGTTAATAGAGTTAAAAGTGCTTTAGTGTTTGTAAATTTCAAATATACATAGTTAATTAATATATCAAGAGGTCAAATATAAAGCACATTTAAGGTTTTGCTTAAATGTCATGTATTTAGATGTAAGAGATTAAAAAAGATAAAAATTTTCTTTCCTCATCACATTTGTACAACTTTAAATAGAAATGGTAAACTGAGTTTGAAATCTAGTGGGGACTATATATTTTTTGCGCAATGATGGCGTATGAAAATGTCTTCTTTTCTGCTCTCAAAATTATTATAGAACAATGAATTTACTTACAATTTTTACACAATCAAAGACGAAGAAATCTTCATATGTATGTTAAATTAATAATAAGAGTTGATAAAGTTTTAAAATATATTTTATAAATATGATTTTCCAAACAAACTACAATAATGATAGCTTTTAAAAGCTTCCAATCTAATTACACTTTTCAGCCAAAAATCCGTAAAAAGGGTTTTTCTCTCTTAGTAAACAATCAAAACTTCTTGTTTTTATATCATTTTATATCTTTGTATGATACTTTATTATATGTAAAAATAAGAAAAAGTTAAATAGAAGAAGAGTATAAAAATAACAAATATATCCAAATTTACGAAAACATAGAAAATTCGGATTAGCCACTATCCAGTTTAGTTAAACTATTTAAGTCAATTTGGTAATATCATGTTATAGATCTTATATGGTAATCTCTTTTTATGCAAAAAGAAAAACATTTAAGGACCCTCTCTCTACACAAGTGCATAATGTTTTTTGGACACAGAAAAAAAATATATTGTATAAAGGAGTCAATATTGAGCCTATCTATCTAATTTTCACTGTATGGTGCGTGGCATTTACCCCCGGAAAAAATGTCCAAAGACAACATGATATCAGTGAATAGAAATCACTGTTGTGTACTTCCATAGGGAAAGTAAATGTAAATAACATGTTCTGTTAATTTATCCTGACCTTTTAAAATGTTAAGAATGCTTGAAATAATTACAAATTGAGTAATATACTGTAAATTTCTAATTTTTAGAATTTAGATCTAAGGGCAGATCACTCTAATTGCAGAAAAATGCCAAAGAATCAGAACTCTCTAGTGTGCAGTGTAGAGAGGGTTCTTAATCTTTTGAAATAGAAGTAGGCATCACATGATTGGCAACATTAATTTTTTTAGTTTTAATCAAAAGAAAAAAATTAATCTTTTGAAATAGAAGTAGGCATCACATGATTGGCAACAATATTTTTTATTTTTAATGTCCAAGAAAAAAGATAATGACTTTGACCTGACCTTGCCTCTAATATCAAACGGTCAAATTTAATCTAACTGATACCATCACTTAGTGATATTGTCTTCTTGAGCATTTATAGATTTTCTATTCATACTTAAGATTTTCATGGACAGGAGAAAAAATTGTGCATTTAAAAGTGATAAAAATTTTCCTAACAATTTGTTTTGATCTCTTTCTAATTTAACTTACAAAAACCTCTATCCTACTTAAAAACTCATGTACTTTTTCAGATAGAGGGACAGGTTGTGATGGTAAAGGGTGACCCAGGGCCTACTGTTACCAAAGTGGCAGAGGAATACAATGCGGCCTACATTGTAACTGGAACAAGAGGTCATGGAAAAATTAGACGGACAATTTTAGGAAGTGTTAGTGACTATGTAGTGCATCATTCTGCAGTGCCAGTGCTTATTTACAGACAATAGAAATATTCTACCCGTATCCCACAACAAATGATAAACGAACGCAGTTTGTTTGGCTGAAAGGCAACAGATCTAGAACTCTCACAAACAAGCAATTTTGGTAAAAATATCATTTTTCATTGATATTTAATGTGGAATTCACGACTGTTAAAAAAAGATATGAATATATCTCGATTAATAAATTAATCTTGTTTTCTTAAGATAAAGCATTTGCCATTAGGCAAATATAACAATGTTTAAGGTATGTCACTCGTGAAATTTGTTAAATCAAGAATTTTTTGAGAAGTATATTTTGGATAAGTACTCTTATAGTGTGACTCAAAATCGTAGAGAAAATAGGGGGTCAGTGTGCATCTTAATTTAATTTAATCAATATTTTATTATGTTAGATTACATAATTGGATTGGACATCAGGCACGGCCTATATAAGTCCTCTCCAATATAAGTCCTCTCCAAGTTGTGCATCTTACTGATTTACGGTACAATTAAGTTGACCTTTTTGCACATAAACTTTAACTCTTTGGTAAATTACTTTAACCTTTATCATATTTTATCAGATGTAATGATGGCAATAAATATAATTTTATTTTATGTAAAATAGTTTGAATAGTATTTATCACTGAACAAATCTTGCAAATTAATGCGCATGAATTATTGTGTGATTTTTTTGCACTAAAAAGAAGCATATTCCGGGTATCAAAAAACTAAATAGGCAATAAAACCTTTCCTTAAATCAAGCTTTTTACGAATTAAGTGCTGATCAGTTACAAGTATCAAGTACTTTAAAATAATGGAAGAAAAAGTTGGTGTCAGTGATGTTAATTTTGAAATATTGGTCAAAATGTCTGATTTTAAGTAGAAAAATGGTATAAATTTTATGTAGACTTATATGACATATCTTCATTTTTTGGCAAAATTTGTTTAACGAAGGTGTAAAACTTGTTCTAAAGATATAATTTAAGACCTATATAAAGTTCTAAGATATTAAATTTAATAAATGTGCAGATTTGCAGAATTATCTGCTAAACATCCTTCCACTACAAGAAATAGTTCCTCATAAATCTTGCTCCTTTGTGGCTTTTTGAGCAATTTTTTCGTTGAATGTTAAAACATAAACATTGTTGAATTTAAATATGTTATAAAAATTGAATTTTAATAAATATTTTTGAAGCAAGAGGATCTGCGTGAACATTTCTTAAAAGCTGACGAGTGACATACCTTAAGAAAAAAAATCGTTTCAATGAAATGAATCCTATAGGTGTGATGTACTCGTATTTGATACAAATTTTTCTTTATGTATGAAAGCCTTTTTGGTTGTTGATAGATTACTATGAATTTTGGTGTTTTAGAAATGATGCTTGTATGTCAATAGTTAATCTATGGTGCATAATCTATTAATGATGTAGAGTTTTCACATGTTTTTGACATTTAATGTCCTTTTATATATTCCAATCAAAGTTTTTTACCTAAGAAATTGTATCAGTTTTATATTTCAAATAAATGAAAAACAAAAAGATGTTTATTTTATTTAATTCTACATCATACTTATATTATAGTCGTGAAAAGAAAAATGTTGCATTGTTTGAAATATTATTTTTAATTCTGATAAGAAAATTAAAGATACTCAGTATTTTTTTTAACTTGCAAAAGTGATTATATTGTAGCCTTACCTAGGTAGAATTAATTCTAGAATCTTACAAATTAATTATTTGCTCTTATCATGATCTATGTATACTTGTTTTACATTTTCTTTTTTACTTCCCCCAAAATGGCGATAAAACTTTGAACTTTGAATGTTCTCAGAAATGAATAACTATAAAATTCAAACACAGAACCGACGGCGTTGGGGGTTGTGTTTACTTTCTCAGGGAATTGACTTTCATTACATTGCAGTAAAGGCAACTACGCCGGAATTCCAATGATCACAAACGAAAACCACTGGGATGATATGATTAAATTAACTCGAAACACGGAATGATCATCTGAAGTTTTCTCCAACGGATCACCAATATCAAATAAAAACAGTTCATTGCCATCATAATAACTTCCACGACCACTTTCACAAATTATATCACAAGTGCCGTTTATAAATAAGAAAAAAAAAATCATGATTACATTTGAATCTTGTGTATATCTGAGCAAATTTAATTTACTTGACGTCTTTTTTATACGATTTCCTGTAAAATTTGAAAAACGTGAATTATACGATTTTCATAGAGCGGACAAAGCGTTGTTGTATTAGCTAATGTTAAATGTTGTAGTTATAGTCCCTCTTTCGAGGTGAATAAATATGGTTTCATTGCAGAAGCAGGTTTTGCACCCTGCTCCCTTTAATTTGTGATTAAAATTGTTAAAATTTTTTTAATTTTTATGTAAATTTTTTTTTCTCGAAAAGTAAACTGGGCTACATTTAGTTTCTTCGACCTGTCTAGCTTCATTATTCTTCCTTAAGAAAACATATCTTTCTTTTCATGCAAGACAAATTGCAAAACGACATGAAAGAAAATTAAAGAAAGATTTTTTTAATATAATGAAAGAGGTGAACATAACTAACAGTGATCGATCTAAAAAACAAATATAAAACACGGATCGCTGGAAATTCAAGAGATGGGATCAGGTGCCAAGGAGGAGTTAGTATCCCCTGGTGGCCGGTCACCCACGCCTTGAGCACAGTTTACTGATCAGGTAGTTGGACCATTATCTTCTCTATCAATAAACAATCAAAATAAGAAACAGATGTAGAAGACTCTGTGGTCTCTTTTTCTTCAATTTCACCGGGATATCGAATCGATATATGAATGAAAGTAACTACATTGTATTTTTAATTTATAATACATCGTTGATATACCTAAACGTCGAGTTGGAGGCCACAGCAATACTTTTCTCTTTAATTTGAATAAATATGAAGTTCTGACTAAATTTTCTTTGAGGGAATATAAAAATAGGTCAGCTAATGAGGGAGCATAATTAGTACCCATTAGAATTCCAACAGTTTGTTGGAAAACCTGGTCTCCGAGAACTATATAAAAGTTATCAATAAGATTCTCCAGTATCCTTTAAATAACTAAGAGTGCTTATGCGTAGAGTCAGAGTGATTTTTAACCAAAAGAAAAAATGGTGATCAATCATAATATAGGGGAATTTTCGACTTCCATTTTTTATCGAAGAGGCAGTTGTCTTTGATATCAGAAAGAATATTTTTTATTGACCGTGAGTCATGTTGTATACGATGTAAGAAAAAGTCGTGCATTTGAATTTGATTTAATCAATATTCATAGTAATACAGGTTCTTTTCAAAATGAGCATGTGGAGATAACGAACAGTATTAAGAACAAAAGTCCATAAAACAATACAAAATAGGAGCAGAGCAAACACGGACCTCTAAAACATCACAGGTTCGATCAGGTGCCATGAGGTGTGAGCATCCCCTGTGGGCCGGTCACACCCGCCGTGTGCTCCTTGTCATGATCGGGAAATAACGGAAAAATCCCTCGACAATTTAGTGTATAAATAATGGTGTATCAATTAGTATGAAAAACGTCAGTCAGCATTTGACTCAATGATAAATTGAGTTTGCTGACAAGGTCATTATATGGACGATAGAACTTACGAAATGATGACTTCAAAGGAGATTGCTGAAATTCTTGCTTTATCAACTTGTTTGTCAATAATTTACTTAGTTTTAGAAATTGTTCATACGTAGAGCATGCTCTTGCGTATCAATTCAACTGAGATATATGAACTCCGTATGTAGGTGATGAAGAAACATTCAAAGCATTGAGCAACGAACAAGACAAGACAATTTATCGTTAATTAGATATTGTAAAAATACTCATCAAATTGTTTAATCCAAGTACATTGTATATTAGTGCAAACGAATTATGTTATAAAAGAAAGATAGTATTTCAAATGAAAGGAACAATAGCATCTGATATTAACAATTGGACTTCTTTAATATTCATTAGAATGAGGTGCAACGTACTTTTACTTAATGATACAAAGAATATGGATTTTCCGTTTTTTAGCGAGGAAATGGCCTTGTCAATTTACTTTCCCTGATCATATTTCCAGAGGCTGAAAATGGTTAATAATGGTTGAAATATTGATTCTCTACACAATATTATTAATGAATATAACATGGCATACTAGCTCGTTTATTATTTTCATTTCAGAGTTTATTGATAGCATATGACGTAAAACCTATAATCACATATTCAAGGAACTCGATGATTTGTTTGTTTGATTCTTGCTTTCGATAGTGTTGTAATATAATAATGAGGGCAGTGCTCTGCGTTATAAGTTGACAGCAGTTAAAGTATAATCTTCAGAGATGTTTCTACTTTTTGGTACAGTTAATGCCCAATAAACGTCTTTTCTTAAAAAAGGTAAGATTAAGCTCAATGCCCAATATAAACATCAAAGTCATAATTTTCAAAATCATCTGTTTAAGTACTAGTAATTCTTTTCAATCGGGAGAAAATGAATTAGCTAGTAAATTAAGCAATTGATTTTCTTTGCAATTTTCCTTATTTTTCCTGAATGGTGTTTACCTCTAAAAATACTCTCCCTGTAAAGCTTAAAGATAATTTCTATTTCATCAAGAATATTGATTAAATACGCTTTGAAACAAAGTTTCAAAAAATCCCATTTCTTTAAGCCAAAGTTATTGAAGCAGTTTTTGCCGCAAGTATAAGAGATATTTTCCCACAGATTATCTTTGCGTGTAAGATAATTATTCAACCTATTGATGTCAACATGCAAGATTATGATTTTATAGTGTTCCAAGAAGGTATTGTTTTTTTTTTCTTAATTTAAATCATTTTTTAAATAGTATCGTCATAGCAAACAATATCATTTTAATGTTTTATTTCATGTCGATACACACTCCTTTTTATGATACATGCATTTATTTTATATATGTCCTATTGCTGCTGTTGTTCAGCTGCTTTTGAAAATAGGAAGCCTTTTGAATATATGTATTAGTATTGAATATATAGTTTATCTTGTTGATATTCATGAAACCTACATTATATTGCAAGGTACAAATGTTTAAAATTAAGGAAGAATCTACTTACTAATTTATCCATTTGCATGATAACAATGATATCGAAGTAGATTTCAATACAAGCAGCATCCGGAGCAAACACAGACCTCTCATACATCAAAGGTGATACAAGGTGCCATGGAGGAGTGAGCATTCCTTGTCTACCGGTTATATCGGCTAAAATAAGAGATTTATCCTTCGATAATTCAGTGTGTAAATAATGGCCTTTCAACTAGTATGAAAAAAAATAACTCAACATTTGATTTAATGATAAATTGTATATGCTTAAAGGGTCATTGTATCGACCATAAAACTCACGAAATGAAAACATTAAACGAAACTATTTTTGTTTGATAAATTTGTTAGTTGCTTACTTCGTTTTTGTACTTGTTCGTACGTTGAGCATGCCTTTGCGTATCGAATCAACGGGAAGATACCGTATAAGTGGAGATTTTAGCGTGACAAAAATTTAGCGATTTGTTCTTAAAAACTGGTATTTTATTTTTAGCGAGATGTAATTTCAGCGATTTCAAAAAGCTCTTTAAAGAAGCTATTACAATTAAACTTGGCACCCTCGCAAATAGTGCCAAAATTAAATCCTCGCTAAAAATTTTACTTATACGGTATAAACCCCATATGCAGGTAATATGGGTTTACTGCACTGCATTATTAAGTAAGAGAAGTAAACGATTAAAAAGATAAAATTATCACGTTAATCATAAAGCTTTGTTGTTTGATAAATATGGCACGCCAAATTCACAAAAATGAGCTAAACAAAGTTTCACAGTTGATAAACTAGGCTTATCGATTGTAAACTATAGTTTACAAACCGTAAACTATAGTTAACAATTCGTTAACTATAGTTTACGAATGTTAATCTAAGTTTCTTGTTTGAAATAAAACGTTAACAATAGATTTTGTTGATAAACATAGATCCACGTCTGTAAACTATAATTTACAATCGTGAACTATAGTTAAGAGGTTAAGAGTTGTTAATCATAGTTTCACAAATCGTGAAACTATATTTATCAGATCGTTAGCTATAGTTAAGAGTTGTAAACCATAGTTTACAAATCGTGAATCTGTATTTATCAGATAATCTACGTTTTGCAATCGCAAATGATTGTTTTCAGTGTTAAGTATAGTGTACGGTTCTGAAACATAGATTATCGCGTTAACTATGGTTTATAGATGTAAAATATAGACTAACGTTATTAACTATAGTTTACAGTCCGTAAACTATAGTTTACAACCGATAAACCTAGTTTATCGACTGTGAAACTATGTTTAGCTCATTTTTGTGAATTTGGCGTGCCATATATAAAAGTTAATGCCTTTTTCTAGTAAAATATCCAAATATAAAACAGATGTGCTAGACTCTGTGGTACCTTTTTTTCAAGCTAGCTAAAATATAACGAGAAGACAATAAAAATAACTATTGATAACTGGAAATACGCCGTCGATATATGT